GGCATGAATAGCCAGATTGGGTTGTTAAAACTGGAGTCTCAAATGTCAAACCTAGGAAGCGAAGGGTGTAGTTCTTTATATATACTCAGTTTCCATTTTCCTGCCAATCACACTGGGTTTTAAAGTTCTGCAAAAGAATATTACAGATTTTCCTGTTGCCATCACACCTGGCATTCAGCAGAGCTGATTCTTTAAAAAGAGGAATAATGAAGTTTCAATGGGACCCTAAGTGTGAAATTAATCCAAATATAAAAGGTTTGCATTCTGAGGAAGCCCAGAAAAATAAGAAGCATTAAATTGCAAAGCCAGAATTGACCTGCCACATAGATAGATACATTAGGATGCTGAGATGGTAAAGCTAGAGTTGGTGGTGTCAAAGCCCAGCAGCCTTTTGCATTTAAAAGTTCTCTTAGTAAATTTCTGACTAATTACATATACCTACTGAGGACCTCATTAGAACATTGGGTCTAGAAGTACATATGGTTTGTCGTAGGTATCTATTCACTATAAACATAGAATGCCTAATAAGCAGCTAGTGATCAGAGTGTTACTGGCATAAACATTGTGCTAGGAATTTCCTCAAGTGTTAGAACAGTTTCATTTTAAGATAAAACCAGTCTTATCAATGAGTTGCAAAAATAGTACACAGCATTCCCATATACCAGCAGTTCTCCACTGAAGGTGATTCTGTGCGTTTGTCCTCAAAGATCATTGTCAATATTAGATATGCAACTGAGAAAAATGTCAATAATTCTGTTAAACTTTGTACTACGTAGAAAGTAGACCACAACCAAAGGAGCAACTCTGCCTGGAATATAAACAGTGCAGAAGTTTAGAAGCCTTGCCCGCATAACATTCTTCACAATAATTAAATGTTAACATTCTTACATCACCACAGCACAATGATAAAAGCGTAAGTCACGGACACTGATATATTATAACTATCTAATCAATAGATTTCATTTGAATTTTTCCACTAATCCTACTAAAACTGTTCTCCGTTCTAGGATTCAACTCAGAATCTTGAATTTAGTTGAAGCAACTCTTAGATGTTGCTTATTCCAAATGGCTTTCAGTTGTGTTTTATGATCTTGACACTTTTTAAGACCACTATACAGATATTTGGTAGAAATTTCCTTAATGTCATGGAATAAAAGGGGTGATAAAAATACAGTGAATATTTTAACAATTATTTATTACATTAAAAGACACATGGCTATTATCCTTCCCCAAAATATCCCCTTCTCACTTCAGACACACTTGTCCCATCATGTTTGCTACTTTCGGAAGCAGCTCTGGAAGTGTTCTCTCGTAAGTGTCTATATGGAGTATAACAAAGCCTGCCATGACCGCTGCTGCTCCTCAGTGCCATTTGACGGAAAGGCAAGCAGAGAAAAACACTGCAGTGTGTCTTCATCCAGCTCATTCACCGTATGACAGCCTGCAACTTCTGGCTCTTTCCCAAAGTCAAAATGAGCCCTTGAAGTCCTCTCTACCTTCATATATTTTCTTCGTTAAGTTTATTGATACATTTTAGGTATACAGTACAGTACATTCCTCACTGGGAACTTGTACCTTTACATGACGGATCTTGGTTCTTACTGTTTTCCCCTTCCCCTGCCCTCCCTTCTATCCCTCCACCCCTCCCTATTTACAAAGGCTCTGTTTCCATTTTTTTCTATTCTCGTATTTTTTCCTTACCCTTCTTTCCTTTCCCCTATCCTCCTCCCTTCTATCCCTCCACCCCTCCCTATTTACAAAGGCTCTGTTTCCATTTTTTTCTATTCTTGTATTTTTTTCCTTACCCTTCTTTCCTTTCCCCTATCTCTCCCAATTCCCCTGCCCCTTTAGACTTTTTCTTTTCCTATTTTGTGGTGCCAACACTAGAAAGAAACTTAAGGTACAAACTGCCTAGGGTAGAGACTGAAGTTTTTTTTTTTTCTTTTTTCTGTAAAGTGATAGAAAACATTTTAGCATTTTGGATCATATCTTCTCTAAGGCAAGTACTCAAATATATTGTTATAAAATAAAGATAAAATAACTACAGGCACTCAATAAATATGTATAACTGTGGTCCAACAAACCTTATCTATAAATAGTGAATGTTAAATTTCATGCAAAATATGTAAATATCTTTGTTCTATTGATCCATTTACAACCACTTAAAATGTAAAATTAAAAAAAAATAGCATGCAGGTCATACACACGTAGGCCATGTCATACACACGTAGGCCATGGGGATTATATGCTGTGTGACCCACTGTTTTCCAACCTCTAACCTAAGATGGAGCAAAACTTTTCACGGGTTATGAAAGAAAGGGTCTGCAATTTTCTAGACTAAATTTCTGATTTCTATGGTTTTCTTTTTGGAAATAAGGAAATTGGACAGGTAGAATTTTTGAGATACCATGAATATGCAACCACTATTTTTTAATTTAAATTTTCTTGACATCAGCAGAATTGCTAAAATGTCTATGTTATGAGGAAACATTTGGAGCCCATAAGATCGGTGAATATTCTAACCTGTGGTATATGTTTTCTTGTCAATAGTAAGTTTTACAGGCTAAACTGCACCCTTCCAAAATTCATGTAGCAAAGTCCTGGGCCCCAGGATATCCTGAAGTGACTGAATTTAAAGAGCTGGCCTTGGAAGAGGTAAATAAGTTTATGAGGCCATAAGGGTGGAGCTTTAATAAATCTGAATGGTGTCCATAAAACCTGAAAATATTAGTGCATATCCACAAACACAAGGGTGAACCCACAGACAGGAGCTGAAGGACCACTCCTTGACAAGACAAGAGGGCCGCTACCTGTCACAGCAGAGGAGAGGCCTCAGAAGAAAGCAACATGATCAGTACCTTAACCCCCAGCTTCCAGCTTCAAGAACAAGGGGAAGAGAAAATTCCCCTTTAAGGTGCTCAGTCTGTCATTGTTTAGTTCCACATCCCTAGCAAATAAATCTCATACACACCCTTCTCAAACCCCTCTTTTCCTAGTTTCTTCAAGTATAGCTAGACGGTTTACCTATAACCCCATCCTTTATTTCTGTGAATTTTATTTTCTGGTGACAATTACCTAGGTCATATACAGATCATATCTGTCATTGACTTTTGTTAAAATCCATGCCAAGGTGAAGTCAGGAGACTTCTAAGCATGCACTGTTGCCTGTATCATTAAAAGGCAAAGCTTCTGGGAAATAGAACAGGGCTGAATCACTACAAACCCCATTTTCTCAGTTATCTGTGTAGCATGAAGCTGGACAAATCTAGTAGCTTAGATGTTTTCCCTGGCTCAGGATGTTAAGGTCTTTTGGAGATAGTGAGCAGGAAAGAGAAATAGAACAGTGATAATAGTAGTAATGAGAATAAAGTCAATGTTACTAATTTCTTTATATTCTGGGCATAATGGGTGCTAAGAAATTTACTTGCATCAACAAATTTGTCCTAACACTAATTACAAGTAAACATTTTCATTATCCTCATTAATTCATAAACTGAACCTCAAGGTTAATTCATTTATCTAAGAGGAAGATCCTTGGACAAAATCTGAATTTGAGTTTTAGTGCTGGTAGTGCTCAAGGTACTATCAACGATATATAATGGTCTGAAAAGCTGTGAAGGGAAGATATGTACTTTGCATCTTTGTTCTGCATCTATGAACTTGTAGAAGATGGCCAGTAATCTGTGGCTGTGTCACAGGACAGAAGAAGGCCATCCTGGAAGAGAAAACAGCTTTTATCAAGACACCAAGGCATATGCTTATGAAGGGTAAGAAGTTGGATGTGGCTAATAAATAGGGAGAAAGATGCCAGCTAAAATGGACCACATAGTAGTAATGCATGGTTCTATCCATATGTTTCACTTTCCTGATACTGTCTTATATTTTGTTTATGGGAAAACAGACAAATGCAGTTGGTGAATGTCAGTTGTTTCCTTATTCCCGAGATTAGGTTTCATTTTATAAACCACAGGGAGTCCTTAAAAGACTTGTGCTTGGAGAATTTCATGGTCAGATTCAGATTTAACTATGTTTACTTATTCTGCCTGAGCAGAGAATAGCCTGGAATGACTGAAACCAGCTTCATTTTCACACATTAGGAGTGAGATCAGTTTAATGTTGGTAAAGCATTCTTAAATATATCCAGTAACATTCTGTTAATACCGTGACCCTTTAAAATAGGCTAAACTGGATACTGAAGGGGAATAAAAGAAATATAGTGGCCTCAAAGATTAGCATAAAGGATCAGTGTTAGACATCAGGCTTCGGAGAAAAATTACGAAGCTCCATGCCTGCATTTGTAGACACAAACTAAGTATAGCTTTTCCCTTCTAAAATCACAGGAGAAAGCTATGAAACTTCTAAAAGAAAAAAGCAATTGTCTCAGTAGAATTATGGGCTCTTTTAATGCTTGAAATTTCATGAATCTTCACTTTCCCATTTCAAACCAAAACAAATCACTACTTATTTTTTACTTCAGTTCTGATAATTAGTCCTCTCAATATTCTCCTTCCCCTAGGAGACCTCTGTGGAATTGGTTCACTCCTTCAAATTTGAAACCATTCAAATCAAGCTTCAAGTGATCAATCAGATAATGTAGTTCTCTTCTGGAAAGAAATGTGTGAATGGGCCAAGATTGGCAAAAATATTACGATTATGGATGTATCTTTACATGGAGTGGTGGGACAAGAGCAGGGATCTCATCTCCTCTGCTACTCACACGAATGACTCCCACTTTCTAGGTAGCAACTTAGCCTAAGCGAGCAGCTCCCGCCCTAGGCAACTGCACCACACAGCTTTTTTTTCCTGGGACTCACTCAATTGGTTTAGTTGCCCCTCTGATCCAGGCATTCGGGCAACTTCTATGAAATCATGAGGAAGGTCTGTGTCAAAGCTATAGTGTGCGATGACCTGCACAATGGACCCTAAGACACTGACGCATTGTGAGCATTCTCTGAGATCCCTGGAAACTGCCCAGACCTGCGGGAAAGAATGAAGGCGTAGTGCAGGGTGAACTGCCCAGCTCGTGGGTACCCGGGGATGAGCTAGTGACACCGCAGCAAGGACGGTTCACAGGTGCAGAGACATATGATTTAGAGGTGGAAAGTTCAAGGTCTGGATTGTGTCGTGGGATATTAACCCTGGCGCTAGCACTATTTGTCCTGAGAAAAAATACGAACCGGCCGGGGATTTGCCTTAGTGGCTCTGTCACCTGCCCTGCTAGAGCCCGAGTTTGATCCCTGGTACTAAAAACAAAACAAAACAAAAAAGCACCATACAGATATTACATTATTCTCCTGTAAACACTGGAGATGTTCGAGATGTCGATGTTATTTACCCCTACTGGGGCAGGTAATGGAGAATGTGAGAAAGGACTTAACACAGTGACTGTGATACAGCATTTAAACTTCAAGAAATGCAAATTGTTATTCATATTTTATAGTATTTATGACTAGAAATTGTTATTATTTCCTTCATTAAAAGTTTCCAACTCTTCTTTTTTAGTGGTTGTGGTTGTATCAAGATATACATCATGTACTATGGAATTTGATCTTTGAAGTTGTATAATCCAATGATTTGATGGATATTTAAAGGGTTGTGCAACCTTCAATATCATCTAAGTTTGGAATATTTAAATCAACCCCTCATGCTCACCTACGCACACACGTAAGTGTTAGTTTGGACTCCTCATTCTCATCTAATGGATGTTACCACCAGCCCCACCACTGCTGATCTAGTCGCTAAGTGTAGATCAGGTAATACACTTTCACAATTGCCTGCCACATAGTGTGTGACCAGTACCATTGATGTAAAAATACATTCCATCTAACTCTGTCTTGGGGCCAATATTATTTCTTCCTACTTTTTAAAAAAAATTGAAAAAGGGCTGCAGATATAGCTTGACGTAAAGGTCCTGGGTTCAATTTCCAGTACTGAAAAAAATGGAAATTCATTATGTTTTGATTTGAATTTCTCTAAATGCTTACAACTTTGAATGTTTTTCAAGTGTTGATTTGACATTTGTGTATTGTCCTTGGAGAAAAGTTTGTTCAAATGCTTTGGACATTTTCAATTGATTTATCTTATTTTGATTCATAAAAGTTTAGTATTATTTTGTTTAAATTTTCTTTCCAGAGAAAGTTAGTCTATCTCATTTAAATTCCTATTTTTTTTCACACATCTTCTAATATATTTTTTCCTAAATTCTAAATACAACTGTTCTAGGAGGTTAGGGTTTGTAATTATTTTATGCCATTTTATGTGTAGTCATGTTAGTTTCTTAAAGCTGTTCTTCCTTGCACTTCTTTAAATTTTTTGATGAAATATGATTCATCTGCTTTTTTAGCCACTTGTACTTTTACTGTCATATGAAAGAAACCATTTTCCAATGAAAATCACTAGTATTTTCTGCTATGAGCTTTGTAACTCTAAGTCTTTGGTGTATTTTGAGATATGTCCTACTTGTAGTACAATGTAGGTATCCAATTTTATTCTTTTGCATGTGGACATCCAATAACCTCAGCCCTATTTGTTCAAAAGCACATGCTTTCCTCATTACTAATCTCAGAACAATTCTTGACATCAGTTAATGTAAAGGTTTAGTTTCAGTCTGCCAGTTCTATTTACTGACATGTGTTTATCTTTATTTCAGCTACACATGACACTAATTGGTGTAGCTTTCTTATGATTATTTAAATCAGAAACTGTGAGTTCTCCAACTTTACTCTCCTTTTCAATTTTGATTTTGTTATTTATTTTATTGTTCTTATATATTAATTTTAGAATCACATCACTTTGTGTAAACAATTCTTTTGGAATTTTAGTAGGAATATGTGAAAGATATATGTCCGTGTAGGGATCATATTATGTTAATGGTAATTTTTGCAATGCATAAATTTGAGTTGTCCCTCCATTTATTTGTATTTATTTTCTTTTTTCAGCAATACATCATTGTTTTCAGCATATAAATCTTGAACTTGCCAGGCGTGGTTATGCAGGTGTGTAATCCCAGCACTCAGGAGGCTGATGCAGGAGCATTACTGTGACTTCGAGGTCAACCTGGGCCACATAGTCAGTGGAAGGGCAGCCTGAACTACATAGCAAGAACCTATCTCAAAAAGAATTCTTTTTAACTTCTTTGGCTAGCTTTTTGAGTGTTTTATTGTTTAATGCTTTGTGACTTTTTAAAAGAATTAAGATAATTTTGCCTGGTTCAGATTTGAAATTACAATCTTAGATTTTTCATTGCTTGTATATATAGTTTTTTAGAGTTTTCAGTGTATTGAATTTGTTTTCAAATAGATTAATCTGGTTTATTGGTTATCTTTTTAAATTTCTTAGGATTTTTACAGACTACCTGCTGTCATTTACAAGTCATAATGGACCTGGAAGGGTAGCCCCATGGCAGAGGACTTGCTCAGTATTGCAAAAATAATAGTATAAAATAAAGACACTTAGTTCTGTTATTTTAATCAGAACAAAGTAAATTTTTTTTCTTTCCTAATTACTTGTGCTATAAGCTTCAGTGCCAGGTTGAAAATAAGTGGTAAAATTAACTTTTTATCTTTCATTATTTTTTGAGTACAAAATTTAGTTTTTCCCTACTAATATGTTAGCTGTGGGTTTTTCATCCATGACCTATATGAAGTTCAGTGTTCTCTGCTATTCATGTCTTTGAATATTTTTATAGGAAGAGAGTTTGTGGCATATTTTGAAATCTTTTTGCAGGTCCTAATGAGATGATTCCATTTTGTACATTATTAAGATCATGAATTTTATTGGGAGCATTGAGAAAATCATGCCTTCTTCAGATAAAGCACATTGTGTTATAAAGTATAGTATGTTTTATATTTTATGGGTTTTGGTTATGCATATGCTGCTGAAATTTTTTTCACCAATAGCTACATGGTATATTGGGCTATAGATTATTTGTGATGCCCTTATTTGTCTGTGGCGTCAGAGTAACATTGGCTCCCTATAATGAGTTGAGGAGCATCATCCTCCCCAGCTGTCACTTTTTGGAAAGGTTGGCATAGGACTGGTATGAATTCTCCTTCAAATATTTGAGTACGTCAGTGAAGCCATGTGTCTGGTGCTATTTGTCATGCATCTGAACCTCTGTTCATTTTCCTTCGTTTAGTTTACTTTCTAGATGTAGAAAAAAACGCCAGAATGTAGGATTTTAATTCCAATTTCTTTTCACAACATCTAATATTGATTGTGCCCAGAGCAAGCTGTGAAGAGTTAACTCCACAATTCGCTTGTTTTGAGAAATGAGTCTGGTCAAACCCTACCTGCCGATGCCAAGGTCAGAGTAACTTGCACCTAAATTCTGTTCCCAGAGATAAACCCTTCTGACTACAAGGACAATCTTCTAACTACAACCATATCCTTTGTTCCTCATTCATGAATGCTTTGTCTTGTCCTTTATGAGCCTTGCTTACATTAATTTCCACAAAACCCCCCCATCGCCTTTACCCCAATTGACTGCCAACAAAAGTCAGTGTGTGGGACTGGCCAGGGCTGTTATCAGTTGCACCAACATTGGTTGTCCTGGCCCCTGCTTTCTATCTCTTAGTTCTGTCTCTTAGTGTTTTTTTTTCTCAGTTGAGCCTTGCTTACATTAATTTCCACAAAACCCACCCATCGCCTTTACCCCAATTGACTGCCAACAAAAGTCAGTGTGTGGGACTGGCCAGGGCTGTTATCAGTTGCACCAACATTGGTTGTCCTGGCCCCTGCTTTCTATCTCTTAGTTCTGTCTCTTAGTGTATTTTTTTTCCTCAGGCCTGCATCATATATTGGGCAGGTGGAGCCTGGAACCTAACTGCAAGGGTCTCCAGCACTTAAAAACTGAACAATTAAAATAGTAAGTGTGACAAATATGGAAATGTGATGCATTCTCAGATGTTTGCTACTTTTACAGTTTGGTAATTATTGGACCTAACACCATTTGTTTCTTTTCCTTTTTTTGAAGGGGAGATAAATGATAAAATTTATTTTATTTTATTTTTTTTCTCATTGAGTTTATTGGTACTTTTTAGGTACACAGTACAGTTTCATTCATCATTGGGATCTTGTACCTTTACATGACAGGTCTTGGTTCTCATCTTTTCCCCATACCCCTGCCCTCCCTTCACCCCCTCCACCCTTCCCTATTTACCAGAACTTATCCCTAGATGATTTCTGTACTGTGATCCTCATCGTGTGTGACCTTAGAAGTCTCTGCTTCACTCCCTTAGTTCTTCACTAATAACTGCACAGAGACTTCTTAAAAGCTTTGAACTCCTTGGCAAGTGGCAACATGAGTGTTTTGCAGTACTTTTAACACTGGAAGATGGCAAGTCTACTGCAGCCTTTGTTTTATTTGTTCAAGCACTCAATGTCAAGAAGTATCAGAAATGAGGTTCTTCTCTGGGCATGTGCAGGCTTATGCATAAGCATGTCTTCTAGATCTATAGAAAGAAGCATGAAAGATATCATTATTTCCTTTTGTTCTGCCCTTCATTTCTGCAGCTGTTCTTGCCACCTTAGGAGACTGAGGTAATAAATCACTGTCATTAATCAGGTCTATATCATGTCAAATAGTGTCAAGCCCTGAAAGAAGCTGCCAGAAAGGCAAGTACTCATAATCCTCCAAAAGAGTAGCTCTTTGAAGAATCCCAAAACCATTCTGGCCATCCAGGGATTGGCAGTGTGCTAGATTTCACAAATGCCATGGCTACAGGACTGCCAGTGTGAGACTACTACAGAATTACTGAGACAAAATACCCAATATCCAAAGTTAAAAGGGGAAAGGTATATCTCAGCTAACACTTTGTGGAGGTTTCAGTCCATAGTTGCCTGGTTCAAAGGTTGGGTGGCACAGCAGAGGGGAATCACAGAGGAAAAACAGCTTGTGGGAAAGTAATACAAACAGAAGGCAGAAATGTAGCAAAACAGGAACTGACAGCAACAGTCCTCTTTCTGTCTCTTATATTCCATTTAGGTTACCAGCCCTGAGGGTGGGTAGCTCCTACCCTCACATACTCTAGATCTAGCCACACTTGAAATGCTCCATCTATGACTCTATGAAGCTGGGGCGGGGGGCATCTAGATAAAAGCCATAACAAGAGCTAAAGAAAAAGAGATGGGAATATGGCTTGTCTCACGACCACAAAACTTGCGATTCTCACCCAAATGCAGAGTCTTCTCACACTCCCAGCCTGCTTCAAGCTTTTGGTAATTTTTCACCCTTGTGAAAAATTTGACTTAGACAATTTTTTGGGAGAATTAGCATTTCTCTTTTTTTTTTCAAGGCTCATTATCCCACTGTTATGAAAACGCTGCTCTCCTGTGGTGGTTTTCTATTGCCAACATGGAATTAAAATTCTTTTGACAAATATTAAAACCATATTATTCAGTGTAATTTTCATATCTCAGTCCAATCTGAGTTCAAACTCAATTTTCAACTTCATCTATTTTAAAGTCCCAAAATGAATGGTCAGGTTCCTGTCCTATAGAATCAATTATAAAGAGAAGTTATGCAACTATGTATGACAAAGGGAAACAGTGGGTCCCATTGTCATCTAGGCATATGAAATACAGCAAATGCTTTTCCAAAGCTCATTTCATCCATAGAAAAATGTATTCCTCTAGTTGGGGGCTACATTTCCTGCAGTACAGAATGCTGGATCTTAGTGAGACTACCTCAAAATTGTTTTAATGTTCTGAGTATGTAGCTCAGTGGTACAATAATCCTGAGTTCAATCCTCAGTTCTGTCAAAAAAAAAAAAAGAATAAGCATTCCTATAAATTTCCTATAATTTTCTACCTTGCATATTCTTTGACAGGAATCTGGAGAATGTTGAGAAGTATTCTGAAACTTATTTCAAAAGAGAGAAAAACAAATATATTAACACTTAATAATGCTCTTTCATATGTGGGATTTTTATTCTTTTTTTTCTTTTTATTGAGTTTTTTGGTACAATCTAGGTATACAATACGGTTACATTCATCTTTGGGATTCTGTACCTTTACATAATAGGTCTTGATTCTCATTTTTTCCCCTTACCCCTGCCCTCCCTTCACCCCCTCCTCTCCTTCCCATTTACAAACACTTTATTTCCATTTTTTCATTTTCTCCTTTTTTTTCCTCTCCCTTATTACCTTTCCCCCACACTTTCCACTTTCCCTACACCTTTAGCCCTTTACTTCCTATTTCACATTATTAATTATCTCATTAGAATCCTGTGTACTATTATAGTTTTTCACACCAAAGAAACTATTCGGTATTTCAGTTGAAGAAATCTCTGTATGAACATTAAAAATCGGGAATCCTAAAATAAAACTAAAAAGGAAAGTAAAAGAGAAGAGGTAATGATGTAACATTAAAATAATCCTTAATTCTGGAGATGAAAATGGTCCCAGAACATATTTAAATTGCTTCTTGCTACTATAGCCTTATCTTATTCTTTTTTTCATTATTTAGAGAATACTTTATTAGTTTCTGTAATCAAACCCACGTAGATGTGATCTTACATATTTAGTATGAGGTGTTACCCCTGTACACATGGAAAAAAATAAAAAATAAAAAAAATTAACATTTCTAGACCAATATGGCTGTCCATTTCTGTACAATGCTATATATATATTTATATAAAAAAATAAAAAAATGGTGCCAGGTACCACAACAGCAACAGAACTTTGCTGTTTTCTGGATATCATTCTTTTCTTTGTTTTTTGTTTTTGTTTTTTTGTTTTGTTTTGTTTTAATGGAATGTGCTGAATGTTATAATTTTGTTCAGATGAATGCAGAACCTGGAAAAGCTGTTGCTGCTATTGATGCATAACATACTGCTATTATTAGTCTTTTATTCTTTTTTTTTTAACTCAGAAAACATGAGCAGGGAGAAAGATTTGAGTAGGTTTCATTCACAGTATAGAGTATGAGAAAAAGGCACACAGATTATTAAGATGTGGAAAATAAAATTATACATTTATTTACAATAAA